TGCAGAGGATGGCGGGGGGGTGGCGATACCGGCCTGGCTGGGACAGTGTAAACTCATATCTAGACTGGACGATGGGACAGAACCGTATGTAAATTGCAATACGAAAAAGGCGTCCCGTTAACTCTGGGAAGGGGGGGGGGTAGAGTTTATTCTTCTTCAAGCAAGGAGAATATAGGTGGAGCAAGCTATGTGGTGGAAGCCATCTGCTGGAAGCTATGTGGTGGAAACTGTGTTGTGGAAGCTATGTTGTGCAAACTACGTTGTCTAACCAATGTGCGGGGCGCCCACGAAAGGCCCATTTGCGGACACATGCGGCGACTGGGTGAAAACCAGGACGCGCATGCCAACGAACGGGCGCCCATAGGCTCCCACGGACGGCGACAAAGCGAAAACCTGAAAACGCATGTAACTTAGTTCAACAAGATGTAAGAACTCCTGAGCGCAAGCACTTGTCGGGGAATAGCATATACATGAAACTGTGTACATCTATTGTGCCGTTGGGGGATTCAGGAGGCCTCTTGCGGCCTCTTGGTGGCATCTTTGGGCCTGTCGGCGGTGTCGGTGGAGGCCATTCGGGAGCATCTTGAAGCCCTCTGGGGGCATCGTGTGGCCTCTCGGGGAAATTTTGGGTCCTTCTGGGGGCAACTTGGGGACTTGACAGATCCTGGGGATATTTTTGGCACCTCTTGGCGAGGTGCGGTAAACGATTTTGCGAGGGCATCTCACGTGAAGGAGCTGCATTTGAATTCGTCGCTGACAGGAGCTGATGAAGAAGATTCCGCGGAATCGGTGTAATCAGGCGTGGTTCGAGGGCCTCGTTTCCCCGCACGCTGGGGTCTTCCCGCTCTCGGGGATCACGGTCGCAACGTCCACACGACAGTGTCATAATTACGATAGAGCCCCATTCAGGGGGACAGGCTCGGAGTTCTGTTGGCGAGCTCGGCCCGTGCACGGATGAGAGCCCCGGTGCGACAGATGACACGATTCGCCGAAGCCTTGGGTGCCAGCGCGCGAGATCCCTGCCTCTCCTCTCGGCCCTTCCTGGGGGGGCGATCCTTGCCACTGTGTGGAGGGGCGCGGGGGGCCCATGCCTCCAGCGGACATATTTTTCCGATCCCGTTCCTTGCTTCCCTCCTTCGGCCCCGGTCGGCCGTTCTCGGGCCCCTGAGGCCCTCAGAGACCGAGGTCGGAAGCGAAAGACTTGCCCCGGGGGGGGGGGAGGGTTCGAGAGCTCTAGGGCCCGAAGAACAATCCGCCAGAGGTCTGGGGCGTCTGAGCCCACTTGGCCGCCGCCCGCGCCCAGGATCGGGCCCGCCCGGCGGCCGAGCGGGCTCGGCTTCCGAAGCGCCCCGTGGGAACGCCGAGCCCGCTCGGCGGCCCCTTCGGCGGCCGAGTGGGCGCAGACGCCGCACGGACCCGCGCACGGAGGCGGGATCACGACGTCGGAAGTGAGGGCGTCAAGGACAGGCCTGACCGGCTTAGACGGGTCCGCGGCGGCCCACGAGCGCGCAGTCGTGCCGCCCTGGCAGGCCAACAGGGTCGGTGCCGTTTCTACCTCGTCTGAACTGAATCCTGTCGCGTGAACTTTTCGGAGCCAATGCTTTGCAGACGGCCCGAGAAGCTCCCCGAAGGCCCCAGCCCCAAGAACCCCCCCTCACGGGAACCCGGGCAGGCCAAGTTCATGCATGTTCTATAACTTTGGCCCCACATCTCAGGTGAGGTTCTTGTTAACCTGTACACCCCGCACAGCCCTCACACCTCACCGAACACCCCTTTTTATTGCCCTCAGCACCACCACACCGTCATCTTCATCATCAGCATCTTCATCATCCGCACCATCACTACCACCATCCCATCATGGTCACCATCACCAGTGTCAGCATCATCATCATCATCATCAGCAAAATCATTCACGCACGCAATCAACCACTCACACCCACACCACCATCGTCATCATCACCACTATCGCCATCCCATCAGGTTCACCATCACTATCGCCATTCCATCATCATCAGCCACAGTATTGACTCTCACACACACACGATCACACATTCACATACGCACCTTGAAGAAGTCTCGAGCGGGAGCACCGTGTGTGATTGAATTGCGAGGCTGCCTCAGGCGGAGCCCCCTCCCTCTGGGGCCGCCAGATCATGTCAGTAATCTGGGCGGGTCATCTAAAGCGTCTGATTCTCGCCGCTGTTGGGAGGAAGAGGAGGGAAGGAGGAGGAGGAGGAGGAGGAGGACGAGCAGGCATCGCAGTAAAGCTCCACAAAGGCAGCGGCACGAGATCCCTACTGGAGTACTACAGGTCGATCCTCCTCAACAACACGGTGGCCAAGCATTATCACTAGTGGCTTCGCACAACGACGTTGCGGGTCTGCAGCTGCCTGCTACGCGTCACCCAACACGGCGGGATCCCGAAGAAGTCTGGTGCGTACTCCACTCACACCATCAAGGCGTTCTTCAGGATCTGCAAGCGCAAACGTCTCAGCGCCGTTGGCATTCTGTTAAACCTTAGGCAAGCGTTCTACTCCGTCATCCATGAGTTCGTCCTGGGGCGGGGGGGCGACAAGCCGTGGCTTCGCAAGATTATGGCAGGCTGCGACCCACCCGAATAGCTCATGCCTGTCATCCAGCGCTTGATCGCAGCCCCTGGCTACCTAGCGCTCAACGATGTCGACGAGAACCTCCGATACCAGCTGGAAGAGGCACACGACACGACCTTCTTTCAAGTACGTGGAGACGAGCTGTGCGCGGAAAGCCGCAAAGGAACACGCCCAGGCAACGGACTGGCCGACCTCATCTTCAACATCAGCTTCGCGCGCGCCCTGGGCCCGCTGGAGCTGGAGTTGCATGCGGAAAGTTACTCCTTGCAGCTACCACCCTTGGGAGAGCAAGCCATTACCACCACAGGCCATCTTCGAGAAAACGAAACGACCCTACCAGAAGTCTCCTTCATGGACGACGCGACCTTCCTGTGCGCACTCAGGGACAATGCAAAGATCGAGAGCAGTATTTTCGACATATTGTCCATTATTACGAAGAGACTCAAGATCTTCGGACACGAGTTGCACCCCAAGAAGACCAAAGCCTTGCTACAAATCGAAGGACATGCCAAACAGCACATCAAGGCGAAGATCTTCCAGACCAATCCTGTCACGCTGCACCGTGAGGAGGGGCAACCGCTGACCAGCATCGACGCTACCACAGCCGAAGTCACGACCCAGGGACTCACACTGGGCAGTGTAGTAACAAGCGACGGCAGCGAAGGGCCAAACCTAATGCGTCGCATCATCGACCACAGATCTGCGGAGGGCCCCCTGAAGAAATCCATCTATCGACTCCCGCGCGTCGACCTCAAAGCCAAGGCCCAGTACCTCGCAGCGCTGGCGCACAGCAAGTTGACCTACGACTGCGAAATATGGGGGGCAATGACGGTACAACAAAAGGAGATGCTGCAGAGTCGACGCATGGCGAGTCTACGAGCTGCGGCGCGACAACAGCGACACAGCGCGGGTCACCCGCACATCCTGGACGACGAAATCTACCTACTCTGCGACGAGGTCCCGATCCACATGTCCCTGCGACGACGCCGACTGCTGTACTTCATCAGGATGCTGCATGCGGACACGCCATTCCTCCACCGACTCATCGACGAGCTCTGGGCGGACAGCAAGGCATGGAACGCGCTCATCGCCGAGGACCTGGATTGGATCAAACGTTTCTTGCTGGGCGACGAAGACCGTGGCAGCGACGTCGGGGATTTTGTACGATGGGCACGAGCACAACGCGAGCATTCCGCACAAGCCATGGTCACGCGCGCCTGGTTTAGGTACAAATCCTGGCAGCACGACGTATACCGACACCGGCTCTGGCAACGACAGCCACATCGGCTCGCGCAAGACTTCGGGCTCACCACGCCCAACTTCGACGGGCGCCCACCTGCACAACGCAGCGGCTACATCTGCTACGAGTGCGGCAAGGTCCTGAAGACGCGAGGAGCCTGGAAGCGCCACCGCACCATGGAGCACATCGGCTTCGACCTCCCTGAACGGCTCGCCCGTTCGACAACGTGCCCAGGGTGCGGGCAGGACTTCATCACGCGCTCGCGCATACTCAAGCACCTGAGAAGATGCCCCAGGTGCCTCGCAGTTCTTCAAGCGATTGAAGTTCCAATGGATCTACAGGAGGCAGCCGATCGACGAGATGAAGAACGCGAAGCGGTGGCGACGAGAAAAGCGATGGGCCACGGAGCCACCAAGGCGCTAGTGCCTGTGCAGCAGATCATCCACATCAAGCTCGCCGACCACATCGACCGACACCAGCTCCAGCTCTCGCAAGCGCCGCCCGCAGCAGTGACTCTTCAATCGGAGACGCCGTCAACAACGACCTTTGCACCGCGCAGACCCCTGGTCACCACGACCATGTTCTTGCTTCACCTCTTCTCAGGAAGACGCCGAATTGAGAACTTCCAGCACCATTTCGAGACGCACATTCCGGAATGCAATTTGATAGTGCTATCAATTGATGTACATATCGACCCAGACAAAGGCGACCTGACCAAGCCAGACGCGATTGCCTTTTGGTGTGCCGCGATAAGCCAAGGCAGAATCTTTGGCATCGTTGCGGGCCCTCCGTGCGAGACGTGGTGCTCGTCACGTTGGCGCGCCACTGAGGGCAACGCCCCGCGCCCACTACGCACCCACGAATTCCCCTGGGGCATGCAAGCAGCCAACCAAACATAACTCCAGCAGCTAGCACTGGCCAGCGATCTCTACAGGACAGCCTTACTGCTCATCACCACGGGTTTGCAGTGCAACGTTTCCGCAATACTGGAACATCCAGCCCCAGCTACCTGGTGTCCTCAAGCACCGAGTAGCTGGCATCGAGCGGGAACACAGTGGTTGTTGGAGCAGACGAACGTCCAGCTACACTACACCGACCAGTGCCAGTTTGGTCAGACGGCGCAGAAACCAACGTGTCTCCTAGCGGCACACCTCAGTGAACTCACGCAAGAGCTCGGTGCAGTACCTGGTGGTCAATTGTGCCGACATCGTGGACACGACCGTGCTTGCGGACGCGACGGGCAGGGCGGCTGGAATACTGCCCCCCTAGAAGAATATCCTTCGAGGCTGTGCAGGGCAATGGCAGCAGCCTTCGCCGCCCACTGGGGACAGCTTGCAAACGACGAAGCACTGTGGGCCGAGACAGACGAGTACTACCACAGCTTTTACGCACCACTGGACTATTACATAGAGCCAGTACAACTGGGGCACGACTGTCACAGGGCCTGGGGCACCCACCGCCGCTAGCACCAACTCATCCCCCACCCGACCCTGCCTCACCCTGGCCTCCCGCCTCGCCCGATGCCTTCCCGCCTTGCCCCGCCGCCTCTCCCTGCCCCACCCCGCTACGACGTCTTGGGGCTGGCAGTTGGCGCAATGGGTATACAACACCGAGCATCTGGGAGACTCTCGCCGCCTGCTGGACTCGAGCAGCGGACGCTTGCCAGCTGACCACCAACCGACGCCCCAAGTCCAGTCCACCCCTCAGCCGCGTGTGCGACCACACGACATGTGGACACATTTCGACCACCACCAGCGGCGTTATCAGAACGGCCAGCCAGATCTGCAGCCCACCCACGACCAGCACGTCCAGCACGACTTTTGCGATCAGCACGAACAGCACGATCTCGACTACCAGCACGACCAGCACAAACAGCAAGCAGCACGCCGCGGACCCCACGACCAGCTGATGGGTATTTGCCATTCGGGCTATAGGGAGCAGCCTTGGGGAGCCACCACGGCAGACCCACAACCCAGTATCCTCGTCGGGCGACCAGCTCGTATCCTGACTGCGAGTGGCTCTCTAATACTGGAGTCTGAGGCGACTAAGTTCTCTTCGGCCAGGGCTATAGGGATAAGCCTTGGGGAGCCGCGGGTCACTGGCCATGACCATCGGAACGGCAGACCCTCAACCCACGTACATCTCCATCCATATATTTCTTTCTATACCACTGCAGCATGATGAAGCAGCTTCGATGGAATTCTCTGGCCAGGGCTATAGGGAGAAGCCTTGGGGAGCCGTGGGTCACCGGCCATGACCATCGGAACGGCAAACCCTAAACCCATGTACGTTGTCTTCCCTCACCGATGCATTCGGAGTTGATCAGCTGTTCATTCACTTCTGCTGCAAGGTTCTGGGAAGTATTGGCCAGGGCTATCGGGATACGCCTGAGGGAGCCGCGGGTCTCTGGCCACGACCATCGGAACGGCAAACCTCGAACCCATGTACCTGGATACTGGCACCATGGCATCAACATGCCTGTCCTCGACGAGCCGCACACCGACAGCAGCACCGACACCGATGTTCGAACGGACACCCCACGGCAGCATGCCCATCAAGAACCACAAGACCGCACACACGCCCCATGAGAGGGCAGCCCGAGCGCGAAAGGTAGCCGAAACTACACCCGCTCGAGGGCCAGCGCGAAAGGTGCCGAGCACAACCGCTGAGCCCGTCGGCTACTGCTGCGCGCGAAAGGTGGCATCGCCACACCCGCCAGCAGCACCGACCGACGAAGCACCCTGAGATTCAGATTGGGCAAGATCACGAACAACCCGAGAGGCAGAACACAACGGGCTAGACCACGATGGACCCCGAGGCGACCACACCTGGAGCAGCGAACGAACCACCTCCACGAAGACAAGCTGAAGCAGGGGGCAGCCTGCCCCGCGACGCGGGATACACAGCGCACGGCGCCGAAGGGTGTATCCGCGCCGCCCTCGCGTAACATGCGAGGTGCCGCGGCCAGCCGGCCAGAGGCGGCAAGCAGGAGCAGGAGCCCGAGCAGAACCTGCTGGACGAGCTGGAGCCCATGAGCGGCTCGGCGAGCCTTCACAGCGCTTGGCGCCGAAGGGTGGAGGTCGCCAAGGTGAGGGGCAGCCTGCCCCTAGGAGCTGGCGGCCTGCCGCTCCACGCCTGGCGCAGCCGCAGCGCGACTCCAGCGCTGGACCTGCGCGGGCAGCGGAGGCAGCCTGCCCCATGCCCAGGCCGAGGGCCCACGAAGCGGCCGACGGCCTTGCTGACGGCGGGCGGCCCGTCGCGCGGGCGGCCGCGCGCCACGCCTTTTGGGGCCCCTAGGGGCCCCACCTTGAAACCCGACCTCGTCTCCTCCCCTCCGTTACGATTGTGGTCCTCGTTCCCCTCTTCCTTCCTCGGGGTCGGGGGCCCAGGGCCGTCGTACGAGCGTGGGCACGACCTCTGGGGGTCGCTGCTTGCGATCCGCGTCTTGGGCCGGCTGCACAGACGCTGGCTCAGCGAGAAACGGCAGAAACGGCAGGAGGAGGAAGAGACTCCTGAGGATGGAGGCAGGAGGAAGCCTCGAGCGGGGCCTCGCCTCTGAGTGAGCTGGGAGGACGCCTCGAGCGGGAACCCTCTGCTGGAGAGATGAGACATCGCTCTCCGGCAGAACGTGTCCTTCCCCGGCGAAAGGGCTCGTTCCCCAGTGACTCTTTGGGGTTTTTTTGCTGGCAGAGAGGCTCGTTCCCTGGCAGGACCCCCTGCTGGAGAGATGAGACATCGCTCCCCGGCAGACCGTTTCGTTCCCCGGCGAAAGGGCTCGTTCCCCAGTGACTCTTTGGGGTTCGTTTGCTGGCAGAAAGAGGCTCGTTCCCCGGCACGACCCCTGCTCCCCTTGAAGCTCGCACTGAATCTGTGGCAGCCTCGGAAGACGCTTCGCGGAGCCCTTCCAGGAGCCTTCCCGGAGCCTCTGGAAGGCCTCTGAAAGGGCCTTCGCAGAGCCCTTCGAGACCCTTCCCATAGTGCTCGTCCGTGTCTGCGGACGATGTCGCCATTCTCTCACCCGCCACCCACGCCTGGGTGGCCGATGGGCGGTTGATCCAAGGCGGTCTCGCGTCTGAAAGCCCAGCCGGGCGCGCTAGTTCCGTGTCGCCCTGCTCGACCTTCTCCGCTTCGTCGCTGCGCGCGAGGCCACGATCGCCCCCAAAGATGCGTGCGTGTGTGCGTGTGTGTGTGGCCTAGGAGGGTGACTCCACACCTTGCTATTGCAATTGGAAAGAAGCTCCGAAGCCAATTTCGGGAGGATTTCCCGAACGAAAGTGCCGTTTTGAAGAATATGAGAACAGCTTTGAAGACGCCGGGTTTCAAAGTTGAGGGAATTCTCAAGCGAAACGGCTGTCTCCCTGGAGCGAAATCCAAAACATTGACGTCCATGTTTTTTGCCGTTCTGATGGGCAAACTGAATATCCATTGTGATTTTGGACCGTGACGTCGCGATCTGCGTGAGGGGTGCGACCGATTTTCACTGTTTTGAAGATATCAGAAAAAATGGCACAAGAAAACGCGAACGGGACCTTACATTAATCGCCTCTGAGTTCTACTCCCTCGGTGAGGTGCGTATGATATATCTATATCTATATATATATATATAGATATACACACCAATGTGTCTCTGTCAGTGTGTCTGTCCGTGTGTGAATGCGCGCGCGTGTGTGTGTGTCCCTCTCTCTATTTTCTCCCTCTTCACCGCCTCCTTCTTCTCGTCGTCCTCCCTCTGTCGCTCGGCTGCTGGTTACGCAACATTTCCTTCTTTTCATCGTCCGTCTTCTCCTCCTCTTCCTCCTCCTCCTAGTCCTTCTCCTCCTCCTCTTCCTCCCTACTTTCATCCTAACCACCCCCCGCAAGGACCAACAACAATCGCAACAGACTGAAAGGGATTCGCGAATGCGGCATTCGAGTGGGACAACTACCGCAGATAAAATCACTACCCTAAATCGCATCATGTGAAACAAGTGGGAGCTCTCAGCTCGAAGAAGACGAATCCTTCTTCTTCGCCTTTTTGGACTTCTTTTTGTCCTTCTTCTTTTTCTTCTTGTCTTTCTTCTTCTTTTTCTTGTCGTCAGAAGAAGAATCCTCGTCAGAATCGTCAGAAGATGAGCTGCTCTTCTTTCTCTTCTTCTTCTTTGCCCGCGCAGCTTCGGCTGCCGCTGCTGCCGCCTGGGGAGAGATACTCAAATGTACATGCACGATGCCAAACTGTGAACCAATATGTTCGTGGAGCTTCTGCGGAACTTTACTTCGCACAAGGAGGTCGAACCATAGGAGGCCAAGCACTCACGGCCTAACCCCCGCAACCAGGGCCACGGGGCGAGACGCCGTAGGGAAGCCACGAAATACCAATATTTGGGAAGCCGTGGGAGGCCAAGCTCTCCCAGCCTGGCCCAGACAACGAGGGCCCAGGGAGAAATAGAGCGCTAGCGAATGTGCGGTGTGCGTGTGTATGTGTACACGTATGTGTATAGGTCGGGTGTGACACATGCATGCATGTATGTATGCATATCTATATATTACAAGAATGATGGAGTCACATGTAGGGATACATATATACGTATGCACGTGCACACATCTCTCTCTATATTGATATAGACATACAAGTGCCTGTGTATTCCCCAATCAGTGCTTGCATGTGTGTATTTCCCCAATCAGTGTATTCCTTGTGGGGCTCTTGCTTTCCCATAGCACCATCTCCTTGCTTCCTCCTCCCTCCTTCTCCTCCTCCTCCTCCTCCTCCCACGTATCCCTTCTCGTGCGCGCAAACCGCATCAAGGTTCCGTGCTTCTCCAGGTCCTCCTCCGGGCAAGCCCCGCTAGACCGCGGCAGGGCATTCGGGTATAATACAACTTCTCAGGTTTCGTGCCCGTCCCACCCTCCAGGGAGGCCTCGCCAGACCGCGGCAGGGCATTCGAGTACCATGCTGTTTATCAGGTGTCGTTGCCTCCCACCCCTCCAGGGCTCCAGGGAGGCCCCGCCAGACCGCGGTAGGGCATTCGAGCACCATGCTATTTCTCAAATTTCGTTGCCCCTCCCAACCCTCCAGGGAGGCCTTGCCAGGCCGCGGCAGGGCATTCGAGTACCATATCAGTTTATCAAGTTTCGTGCCCCTCCAGCCTCTCCAGAATGAAGCATGAGGAGATGACAATGGGGCGGATCCTCTCCGGGCTCCCTCAGGGCCTTCTTCGCGCCCTCTTGGATCTCTTAGAGGAGAGTTGGCCCCTCTTGGGGAGCGAGGGCGTACTCTGTCTGCCGCCGCCCCCGCCCCTGGGAGGCTCAACAGTTACATTTCGAGGCCCTCCTGGGGCCATGTTGGGGCACTCTTGGGCGTGGGGACTTCAAGGGGCCCTCTGCGGCCTCTCGGGGGCCATATCGGAAGCATTTTACGGCCTTGGAGGCCCGCAGGAGGCGAAAGCGCAATAATGCCTGAGCATTGAATAGAGGGCAGAAAATCCACCCGATAATAACCACCCCGGCACGCGAGGCATTTAGTAAACGCGCCCATCTAATGAATCGAACAAGGTCAAGCTGTTTAGTAAACGCCAATTGTCTGGTCCCGGTGTTTTTTCCTCTCTGGATAAAAAACGCAATGCTTCAGAGCGCTTGTGGCCTCTTGGGGATTTCCTTCGGAAAAATCCGAGAGCACTTGGAGCCATCCTCAAGCCGTCTTGGAGCATTTGTGATGCGCACGGAGGCCACCCTGAACATGTAGAACTGTATTGCGCGACCTTCGAAACCATCTGGAACTATTGGGGACCCTCCTGGAGCTATCTTGGACCACATTGAACCCTCGGAACGCTCGCGGGGTACCTCTCCAAATTCAGGGGAGGACCTCCCCGAGTGAAAAGCGTGGGAAAGAGACCAAGCCCTTCCCCGAAATACGGAAATATTGTAACAGGGCGACCCTCCCGAACCCCTAGAACCGGCCGAGCTCTTCCTCCCTGCTGCTTCCCCTCCTCGCCTTCGTCTGCCCTGTCATGGTCATACATGAGTGTCACAAGTCTTTCTTGCTTTTTGGTGCTGTTGTGCCCGTTCATCCTGCTGTTCCTTCTACCATTCTTATGAAAAGGGAACTCCGACAGCACACGTGCTTTCCAAGGAACCGGGCCTGCTCGGCGGTCTGGCGGCTATGTCGCCGCCGTCGCCGCCCCGTCGCCGCCTCGTCGCCGCCCGTCGGCTGGGCCCGCGCGGCGGTCTGGCGGCTATGGCCGCCGCTGCCGCCGCCGCCTCGTCGCCGCC